CCAGCACAAGCTATTTAATCATCATCATAGTCATTACCACCAACGGTATTTATTTAATCACCATAGTCATAGTGTAGCACATCATCATCTTCAAACTCATTCTAGCTAGCTAATCACCACCAACACTAGCTGCGATAGCTATCTAATCACCACCAACACTAGCTAATAATAATCATCATACTCATTACCATGAACACTAGCTATTTAATCATCATAGTCATAGTGTAGCACATCATCATCTTCAAACTCATTTTTAGCTAGCTAATCACTCCTGCTACTCTCTCTCAGGTAAAATAACATAAAACATGTATAACACTCCTCCTTCATCAAGTTGGAGCATGCAGATGAACCTGTCTCCTAATCGTGGGTTGCGCTTTTGATTGCTGCCCCCTAGTACTTCTTTGCGATCATTCACAATTTTGCTCCAGTCTTTCACTATTAAGCATTCCTCGCTATTAGAAATCCTGAATGCACTAAAATGCATTGTAGGATATCTTGGCCGTAAGCTAACAATATTCTTGGTACCTTTAGTCTCGATCAAATCAGGCACAACATTCATCGGGAGTCCCTGTTGAAGAACATCGTATAGTAACATACTTAGCAATGAAGTTTATCTTAAAAAAATAATGTATGCAAAAGATGAACTGAGGACAAATAGTAAAAATCTTACCATCTTTCCTAAATAGATGTGACCGTAGTTCAGTACAAACCCCATTGGTCGCACGTTTTCAGTACTAACATTTCTAAGTGCAGGAAGAAAATTTGTCTTGACAGTATCAAGATCCTGAAGCCATGAAACATAATGACTTAGCTCCTCGCAGTTTAGTTCAGCCCCGGGACAGTAGTAGGTCCTGTCTACCAAGCGCTGGTCATGTTTGCTTGAACGGAAATAAGCTGACAATAGAAATTAGTTGTCAACTATTTTTGCATAAACAATATCAAAGATATAAATATGGTTAAAAAACTCACATAATGGTATAACTGGAGGCGTCTGCACATCGACCCAGATGTCGGTATTACCTTCAATATCATCTTCCGGACGAATATCAAAGGTGATAACCATATCAGGCTCAAATGCATAAGTCTTGCATAGTGCTCGCCAAGTTTTGCATCCAAAATAGGTGTAGTCGTCTTCGTTGTATAATTTTACGTGAAAAATATAACCATGCTCGGTCTTCAAGTAAACTTTCTTTACCTCCATAGTACGACTGAAACCTATCTTATCCAAGACAAAAACTCTTGCATGGCAGGGGATACACTAGTAGAATAGTAAAAAAAATTTAAATTATAAGTTGAAGCAAATGAAGAAGATGTCATGCTTAATTACGAAAAAAGACTCGCCGTTGTGACTTACTGTATCCACTTCGAAGTTCTCGTCCAGCTTGATGCTGAAGCGCCTATCATCATCTAGGAAGATTCTATCGCACAGGCCGCGCTCGTCTTCGCGGTACTTGCAAATACCGAAATCCTTTTCGTCGTCAGACATTTTCTATGTTCTTAGTTGAAACATTAATTGAAAATCGATCGAAGACAACTACCAGGATACTCAATACACAAATCCGGGACACTCGATATTTCCTACATATTCTGGCACAAGTCATGCCAAAATTTACGGAAAAATCCGGCATGACCTTTTCTAAAATAGGACATATCGAGCGCCTAAAATTTGCCGGAACGGAAATGAATCAACACTCCAGCAAAACATAGGCCACTCGGAGGTGTAACCTGCAAACATGACCGGCCACTTGGGCAAGCACATATCCTATTTGAGCAACACAATATATACACTTCAAAATATCTTATAGGACTCATATTAACATGAGCATTCAATAAGCAAAACCAAATCATAAAATAAGTAAGTATTCAAATTAGCACGCATTCAATAAGCAAAAGTAAATCATCTCATGCGTCCGTACATCATCGAATATTATCACTAATACATCCCGAATAGTATCATACATATAACATCACTAATACAACTAAAACCCTAGCGTACGACGGGTATCGGCGCGGGCGGTGGACACCCACAGAGAAGGAACCATCACAGGATCATAGCTTCAGTGAGATCCCTGGAGAACCTGCCAGGTATTGAAGAATCTGTGCTCCAACGCAAACAAGTAGGGACGGACGTGCGCGTCCTCCTCACTGACACGGTGACGCACCACCTCCGCGGGGTTGTCGAGCCTCTAGATCGTCACTGGCCCACGCGACCGCTACCAAAAAAGGTTCAGGTCAATGATGGGCTGACTCCTCACCAACCTGCGCCCTCCGGTAGGTAGCGCCTCCCAGTACCACCCCGGTGGAGTCCAATCCCGGACATGACCCATCTGGTGACACAGGTGTCCTCCGCCGACTCGACGACGAGGATGCGGGATAGGCATCATCGACGTCGATACGGGAATACTTGCTTTAACTAAAAAAGTAAACTTGTTATATTAATTTTTATACTAAAAATAAAATAGGTGTATTAACTCAACTAGTTCAATTAAGCACTTACTATGAATAAAAATAAATTAGTTTTTACTAAAAATAAACTAGTTTAATTAGTTGTATTAATTTTCTTACTAATTCTATTGGGAGTTAGGCCGGCTCAAACCAAGCTACAAGTACCTTAGCTATACTCTGATCGGGAGCAGGAGCTAGGAGCTAGATCGGCAGCAGCTAGGATCGAGATGGCCGTGTCACGGCGGACGGGGTGGATCGCCGCCGGCCTCCTCGCGCACCTGCTCATGGTGGCCGTCCTGCTCATGTCCGTGCGCTTCGTTCTGTCCAACTACATCCATTGGGACCATACACAGGGCATCTACAAGCTCCAGAGCTACACGTATGTACTCCTCTATATCCGATGTATATTCTAGTTCTAGCTTAAGCCAGCGCGTAGTACTACTGTACTAGTGTTACTAGTACTACATACTGCGTCGCTAGCTCTAGCTAACCTCTGAAAAGCACGGGACGAGTTCTGATGTGGCATTGGCATGGCGCACGTACAGTTATGTGGTCGCGTCGGCCGTCGTGGGGGCGGCGGGGAGCGTGCTGCAGATACCCGTCGCCATGTACCTGCTGTGCAAGAGCAAAAGGGCGATACCCAGCGCCATGATCCTCGACATCAGCTTGCACGCCGACATAGTAAGTTGCTGCTCTGGCTATGGCTAGCTACCTTAATTTCTCGTGCAAAGCTCCTGACCCCCTTTGGTTAAGTACTCCTATATGCGAACGACTCGTGGACATGGTTATGATAATTTCATCTTGCATGCCACTGCGCGCAGGTGATCAGCGTCGTGCTGGCAAGCGGCGTCGGTGCCGGGTTCGGCGCGACCAACGACGTTCTGCGCTAAGTCCGGGCGAGCAAATGGGAAGGCAGGCAGCAAGAGTAGCAGGCTCTCATCAACTACTACAACAGGGCGATCATCCCCGTCATATTCCTACTCGTAGGCATGGTCCTCTCCATCTGCGCCACCGTCGTCTCCGCCAGGCTCCGCGCTAGGGTCATAAACGATTCTGAAGGTGCAGCCTGATGGATAAACTCTCACACAAAAACAAGTTGGACTCATCCTTTGTATTGCCCTATTCAGGCACTGTCAGCATGTGGCGCTATGTTTGTGATGCAGAATCTTTTCTTCCAAGGGTTGAATTTCCACATTAAGGAATTATGAGAAAGTAGAAACGGCGCCTGATTCCTGCCTTTCTATTTACTGATTCTTTATTAGCTTACAACTTTGCTGAGGCCAATGATTAGTCTCTCTGCTCTTCTTGTTGATCAGCAGTCAGCTTGATCATTTAACCTATAAATCTCGCTAGCCTACCTGCCATTCTGGAGCTACCGCGTGCGCCAAGCCTATTGGACCGCATGATTCCTTTACTGTCGCTCTATTTTGACTGCTGGCGCTGGGTCAGCCGTCAATTCCTTTTTACAATCGCAGCTGCTTCAGTAGATGACGGGTGGGGCTCATGAAGAGAGAATTAGGTGGTTTCCTTTCGAGTTTGCGTACGTGAAAGTTTTACTGCAGCGGGGTCGATGGGAACGTCCGGTGGATTTTGCGTGCGCTAGCTGTGAAACCCTACAACCAATCTTCACGCTCCTCGAGCCCCATGTCCAGCTCCTCCTCCCCCACTTTTCACTCCCACGCTCCCCATGCATCTGTATTGGTTTTGTTCATAGTTCTCTTCAGAATCACTTGTATTGAGTTTTGTTCATAGTTTATCATCGAATCACTCAACTCATGCCTTGTTTGGTTCTAGTTTTATGCATGATTATAGAAAGGAAGAATCACTCAACCCGTCGCCGTGTACCTACTGCGCAAGAGCAAAAGGGCCATACCTAGAGCCATGATCCTCGACATCAGCATGCACGCCGACATAGTAAGTTGCTGCTCTGGCTATGGCTAGCTACCTTAATTTCTCGTGCAAAGCTCCTGATCCCCTTTGGTTAAGTACATGCCAACGACTCGTGGACATGGTTATGATAATTTCAGCTTGCATGCCATGCCACTACGCGCAGGTGATCAGCGTCGTGCTGGCAAGCGGCGTCTACGCCGGGTTCGGCGCGACCAACGACATTCTTCTGCAAACCATGTTACTCCCTTCGTCTCTGTGCATCAGGCATCTAATGAAAATTTAATAATCCGAAAACACTAGGAGCGTAACAATAGTGCTAATTGCATGCATATTAATTAGACCTTATTTATTAATTGAAGCACGAGCGAGAGGTTGAGAGAGAGCCTTGAATGTCTAACTTGCCATACATAGTGTTCCGTGTAGCCGAGTTCACCCTCGATCAACTCATGGCTAAGATTTGATTCTCCCTCTTACCTCTTAGGCGCCATTTCAAAAATCCTTGATGAAGAATAGATTGAGCACTTGAGAGCTTCCTTTTTATGTTTACAAAAAAAGTGATTTAAATGCTGGATGGAGAATAGATTGAGCACATTATCACTTCCTTTTTATGTTTACAAAGTGACTTGAACAAAATAGAAGAAACACACAACCATAATGCCACTTCCCTAGTTTGCAGTTAAGTCAGCCCACGACTTATTAGGCTGTTTACTTTTAAAAATGGAGATGACAAAGGAAATAATATCCAGCACAAAAGAGAATATTGTTCCTTTAATATAAACTTGAGTAACATAACCATACAATAGAACTATATATATCATAAAGAGACACACAAAATAAATGCTTAATTAAGGAATAAATGAATTAAACCACGTGATGTATGTTGAACTAGAATTGAGCTTGGATATGGTCTATGATGTTCTTGTCCACCTGGAAGGCTTTGGCCAGGATATCATCTGAGATGGTTTGCTTGGATCCAAAAACCGCATTGGCTATGGTGATCACACCGGGGTTCTTGCTGCTTAGCGCCGCAATGGCTATCGCTTCGTTGTTTCCAATGTTAAACTGAAAGTGAATCAGCCCTTGCGGAAACACAAACACGTCCCCTTTGTTCAAAACTTTTGAGAACAACTTGTTCTCAGGGTTCGAAGTCACGAAACCAACATAGAGTGAGCCTTCCAACACTGTTAGGATCTCGGTTGCACGAGGGTGAAGGTGCGGTGGGTTTTGACCATAAGGTGCATAATCAACACGCGCCAATGAGACACCCAAAGTGTTCAACCCGGCAATCTGTGCCACGTTAACTGCAGTCACAACGGAGCCTTGCTTGTTGCTTGTGTTCCCGACCATGTGGAGGCTAGAGAAGTAGAAGTCCTCTACCACTGCGGTCTTTGGGTCTTTGCATGCGAATCCATTGACAAAAACTGCACATATACATATACAGATTTCGAGCAATTAATAACTATGGATTGGCACAAATAAGTAACTAGGAACATTTCACTGCACGTATGAATGTGTAATTGTACATACCTTGAGATGTCTTGTCAGCGACGCAGAAATCCTGAAGCTGACCCGGGTCAGAGGCAAGAGCACGAGAAGCCGACAAAGCCAACAGGGCAAGGAGGAAAAACTTTGAAGCCATTTGGATGTGAACGTTGATTCTCACTAAATCAAGTGTGTTTGATCAGGTAGAGAAGAACTGCTTGCGCTCCTGCTGCACAGTGATGCTTCAAAGGGTTGGAGGAGACCGGTATATATACGGACATGGAGGATGATCTTTTGTGTTTGTTTTGTTGGTGCGCATGTGGATATGAAGGAAATGGTCTTCACTAGCTTTCTAATTCCCAAGTCTAAAGCGTGTTCCTGGCCGGCCTTCCTGTGACGGCCAACTAATAGATCACACCATCTCTTTTAGTTTCTCTGCATTGTTTGAACAGGTCATATTCGTAGCTTGTACTAGCTCTCTTGTCTTGTGTCTTGTCTCCACACTTGAACCAGATGGAACTTGGCCATGCAGCCATCAACCTAAAGGATTAAACACATTGACGAAAATTGCTTTGGAGCCCGGTCCCCATGGAGGCCTGCAAATTCAAAATTTAAATTTCATCAAAATTCATATGTTTATGTTTCAAAAAAATCTGAAAAATATAGATATTTATGAAGGCATAACACACACGTGTGTAAAATTTCAGGGCAAAATACGTTGAAGTTTGAAGTGAGGGCTTTGCAAAAAAACTCTAGGGCTTTCTAATAGATGATACTATTTATCCTTCCAGGCCATGAATTTCTCTTTTTTTGTACATACCGCATTTCAAGGTATTTCACCCTAATTTGCACACATACACATAACATCTTTGTTTACTTACATAATTTTTTTCAGATTTTTTTGAAACCGAAAAGTATGAATTTTGATATTTTTTTCAAAATTTCCGAGTTCCAGTGAGCCCGGTCACCAAAACGACGTTCTCACTATTAAAGGGCTAACTTGTAAACACACCTATAACAGTAACAAAACAGTAATAGAAAATGCTTGCGTGCATGAGCAGGCCAACACAAACGCGTTCCTGTGGAAAGCTTTCTATCTCGGGCAGTGTTTGGTAGGCTGCATTATGTCTAGCCAGGCCCCGCATGAAATGGAATTAGACTATTTTGTTATGTGGGCTGCATTTGTTTCCTGACCCACACGAACTTCAAAGTACTTCCTCCGTTCCAAATTACTCGTCCCAGGAATGGATGTATCTAGAATTAAAATATATCTAGATACATTCATTTCTGCGACGAGTAATTCGGAACGGAGGGAGTAGTTCTGGGCCTGCATCCGGAGAAATGGCCGAATCGGCCATTTTTCTCGAGGCAGGCTCACTCGAGTCACGTGTGGCGAGCGCTGCACGCGTGGGGAAGCATGGGAGACGACGGGACATCTCATAACTCCACACCCTCTCTCTAGTCACCTCCCACGGCAGTTCACGCACTCGTTCTCTTCCCCTCACCGCCGCTTTGGTGTCTCTGATGGCAGAATCACCGTCGCCCCCCCCCCCTCCCCACTCCCATCATTTCTGGTAGCAACCCCATCCAGGAGAGGAGGATTGCAAGCTTTCCCTCTTCCGGACGGGATCTCGCCGCGGTTCTCCGGGCTCCGTCCCCTTCTGCACCATTTCGCCGCGTGCTCCGGCTCCGCCACCGGTGCCACACCTCCTAATCTTGGGCTCGACGAGGCGAGGTTTCAAACCCCGTCGCCCGCGGCCTTGACTAGCCCGACTTATGGGGGTATTTTTACCCCCATTCAAGGGTTTCTCCCTGCGTCCGATGCAAGGGGAGGGGAACTCGAGGACGTGGCGCTCATCCTCCAACCGGTGCGCGACGAGGAGGTAGTTCATGTGCTCGATGCGCATGCGGATGGCGTTCTCGGCATAGATCCGAGCTCCGTCAGCGATGCCCTTCTCGATGGCCTTCTTCACCTTGAGCCTTTGCCATTCAACATATAAACATATAAGTAAAGTACACTAATTCTAGAAGAGAAAACACAAAGCAATAAAGGATAAATGGACCATTTCCCCACAATTTTTTCCTGATTCAAACATCTACAGTCCAGCCACTGATGTCTTAAGCATGTGTTGTTGGTATGACCACACATGAGAATCAACTTCAGAGAATAAAAATCACATTTACTCAAATTGAATTGTACATTAAGTACTGATCTTAATCATGAAAAGTTTAAGTTTAGGAGCAAGCAAAGCTACCAGTTTCAGCGATCTGTAATGTTAAAATATTCTGGACAGGTCAAAGCTCTCTACATTCTAATGAAGTGCTATCAGTTCTCCATACAAACATTTCCTACGGGTCGGCATCGAAGAAGGCTTGATTTAACACGTTCAGAAACAGTCTAGTGTGTATATTGTACTCTGCAAGGCTTGATTTAACACATTGAGGAACATTATAGATTTATCAAGCATGTTCCGAGATTCAGCAAGCGGCAGTCATTGCAGAATACTATTACAATGCTCAATTCAACTAACAGAATCATCCTGAGACGAGTTTATATGAACAATCCGGAACACGAAGTGCAGCACAGCAAGTCGATCTACCATATCTATCAGTTGCATCTAATTAGGCACCCCAAAACCCTACCCGACGGAGAATGGCGCGAACGACGAGATAGCACGGCATTGGGTTTCGGAAGCTGAAGGGGAAGGGATCACGCCTGATGGCAGCGGTGGTGGTCGGTCGTGTTACTTGCGCCTGCTTCGCCTTCACGTACGGGGAATCTGCTGCCGGCGGCGCCCTCGGCAGCCGGGAGCATCTGCCGCTGCTCACCGGCGCGGTGACGCGGTAGGAGCAGCAGCTGGCGCTCAGGCGCGGGGTGAAGTGGCTCCTGGGGACGGCGTAGCCGTAGGGGGTGCCGGGGCTCCACCTCTCCGCTGCGGCTGGTGGCGGCGCCCTTCCCCTCCCGCTGGTGGCAGCGCCGCCCTCAAGGTGGCTGCTGAAAAGGATCTACGGAGAGGGAGGGGAAAGGATGCCAGCGATGGAGTAGAGGCCGGGGTGGTCGCTCGTGGCTGCAGGATGATGTGCCCGTCGGATCTGACCGGAAGAGACGGAGGAGGCCGGTGAGGTTGGGCGGCTCGCTTGATCTGCTGAGGGGCGACTGGGTGGTGGAAGGTAGGGGCGGTGGAGGAGGAATCTAGATCGGGAAGGGGGCGGCGGCGAGGAGATGGGGACGAGGGAGGAAGGGGGCGACGGGGGGAGGGGTCGATCTGAGCTAGGGTTTGGGCTGCGAGTGAGGGGTATCTCTTTTTATTTTCTTTTTTTCTTCTTTTCTATAGATAGATGGATGGATGGATGTGGGATGGAGAAATGGATGGATGGATGGATGTACGCCATGTCATCGATCCATGGACAGAGTTATGATTGGTTCAGAAAATCAAAGATGTAAAATAGTATTCAAGTACTAAAAATAGAGGGATTTTATGAAGTAGCTATGAAAAATATTTTGCAAAAGGGCACCACACAAATTTTCACTAGAGTTAGACCACATTTTATGGGTTAGGACCAATTTGTATGCATTTTTCATATTTCTAGCTATTTTTAATCTTTTTTGAGTGGTAAAAATGTTTTTTTGTGAAGAACCTACCAAATAATTGTTGCAAAATTGCACCAAATCAATTTTCTAAAATATTAGGCCATATTTAATGCATAATTGACCAAATGGTTGGATGACAAAAGTTTTCATCCACCTCTCGTGAAAGACAAATTTCTGTTGGTTCACCTGGGTCAAATTTGAACTACAGCTGCCTCATAGTTTGCTCTTTATTTTTTCCAAAAATCATTTATAGGTACATAAGTAACTATTTAATCAGAGTAATATCAATAGTTTTCCAAGATTCAACCGTAGCTATGAATTGTCAAGCCCGCCGTTTTGACTGCATTTTGAAACGGGCATAAGAAATTAAAAAAATCAAAAAATTGGAAAACCTTCGCATTGTGTCATTTTATGTGACCAAGTTGCCAGAAAAAATAATAAACTTATAATACAGTAATTATTTTAAAAAAGTGTTCTTAGAAATGAGCTATCATGTGTGAAGATTCATGGCTTTCAAGCCAAATGATCAATCTTATGGCCACATTTATGGCATAGTTTGTTCAAATGATCTCATATTGTGCACAAGGGTGCATCTTGGAATTCCAAACAATGTTGCCTACGGGAGTTTCATTTTCTTTGCACGGAAAATTCATTTTCCATTTTCCGAGTGCCCGAATTGAGTTCTTTTTGTGAATGACCTACCATATATTTGTTGCAAAATTGGACCAAATCAATTTTCTAAAATACTAGGCCATATTTGATTCATAATTTACCAACTGGTTGGGTGTCAAAAGCCTTGATCCACCTCTGGTGAAAAAGACAAATTCCCGCTGATTTAGTAGGAAGCGGGTCAAATTTGAACTGCAGCTGCCTCATAGTTTACTCTTTATTTTTTCAAAAAATAATGTCCAGGTACATAAGTATATATTTAATCAGAGAAATGTCAAAAGTTTTCCAAGATTCAACCACTAGCTAGGAACGGTCAAACCCGCCATTTTGATCGCATTTCGAAACAGGCATAAAAAATTCAGAAAAAATTAAAAAAATTGGAAAACCTTCACATTGTGTCATTATATGTGATCAAGTTTCCAGGAAAAATAATTAACTTGTAATACGACAATTATTTTAAAAAAATGTTCTCAAAAATGAGCTATCATGCGTGAAGATTCAGGGTTTTAAAGTCAAATGATCAATCTTATGGCCACATTCATGGCATAGTTTGTTCAAATGATCTCATATTGTGCACAAGGGTGCATCTTGGAATTCCAAACAA